TGGGACGATGTGCTGATTTTGATTACGTAGTCGCATTTTTGTGTCAATATTTGTTTTTCGGGGGCTCAGATTCGATTTCTGCCATTTACAACTGCGTGAAATGGTGGTATGTTCACACATTCAGCATATTTTTGTTTGTGGCAGAAAGTTTTCTAAACACATTATACTGTAAAGGTTTCTGAATCCAATTCTGCTATGTATAGGCTTGTAGCATGTTCCTGGAAGCCTGTGCCGAGTTTACCCATTATGTATATTATCCAACAATGTTGTAGTTGAACTCCAGCGCAATATCATTCCAGATGTTCGTTCTACAATCATCTTGGAAGTCAGTTAATAACATAATCTATGCTATGAGGGCTTCTTAGCAAGTGTTTCATTTACAGCCACGTCCCCATCACTATCATCCACGTTGCTGCCAGGCTGGAACGAAGCTCCTGGCCATATGCTTGCTATGCTGTTACGACCTTTATGTATATATAGGGAAGATACTGAGCCTCGTACATCAGCTCCAGTCTAGCACCCAAAGAGGAAACCTCAAGAAAACTATGAAATGTTCCTGTCTGTTGGTTGTTTTCTGCTTTGAAAGTGAATGAGGACGGGTGAGCATGGCACAGTCTCTATAAGCGTGACGAGAGAACGCCTTATGCCTGGTAGGCATGTCACTGGAGTGTGGTGAGAAAGTATCCCGGTCTGACTGGTAACCGCAAGATCATGGTGGGAACACTTTTTGCGCAGCCAGATCTTGGCCATGAGCGTAGAAAGATCTTGTAGTAAGCGCTTGGTGTGGTCGTTGCAGGTGCATGCTGCCGCTATGCTCTTTTTGCCTTCATGCCAGGAATAGGCTTTACTTTCCCAGGAAAATCGATGATAAATAAATGCTAATAATGTGTTTAGAAAAATTTCCACCATCTTGGAAATATGCTAAATTAATGAACATACGACCATTTTACGTAGTTGTATATGACAGAAATCGAATCTGCCTCCCCTAAAGAAATATATATTGTCACTAAAGACAACTACTTAATTGAAATCAACCCATCGTCCGATTTTCCCCCCACAAGTGGCAGTAATATTGGAAATATACTAAATATGTAAACATGTGATCATTTTACAAGGTTGTAAATGTCAGAAATTGATTCTGCGTCCCCGTAAACATATATATTGACACCAAACACGACCACTTAATCAAAATCTGCACATCGTCTCATTTTCCCGCCAAAAATGCCCGCCATCTTGGTAATATGCCAAGTGAAATGAAATGAAATGGGGTTTAACGTCCTACTGTTCTGCTCCTAACCTGGGCTAATGAAGACGGGCATAAGCCATACAGTGTGCTATGAGGGAAATTTTGCCCGGACAGCGGCACTACGGCCTACTCTTATATCGAATTCCAACTGCCAAGGGATCTTTTACGTGCACGCCAATGTGTACACGGGACCTCGGTTTTTCGTCCCATCCGAACGACTAGACAGCTTTCCTTGTCAGCCCCTCCGTCCTGCATCACTGACAAGGGAGTACCACGCCGGAAAATCTGGATGAACTTTCTCGGCCAATGCAGGGATCGAACACCCGACCTCCAGGCTAGCGTCATTACCCACTTAGCCACGTGATCCCCCTAATATGCCAAGTATATGAACATGTGATCATTTTACAAGGTTGTTAATGTCAGGAATGTAATTCAAGATAATGGAAAACAATCTGAGATATAGTCATGAATGCTGCCAAAATTAATACATTGCCAAATCACAGTTGATATGTCGATAACATTATAAATAAGGTGAAAATAAAAAATAATTTGAAATATCGCAAAATGGCTACCCTCAAATAATGGCCTCCCATACTGTGAAGACCTCCTCAAAAAAATTGTCAACATTGTTTTTTTGTAATCAAACATCAAAACCTACAAAATAAAGCTTATTCCATGATTTCTACCCGAAAAGCTGACGGATTTACATTAACGATCGGACTATTAGGCTAAGTAGTGATAAGCAGTTTGATTTGTCAAGACTTTGGAACATAACAACTCTGCTTTTAATTGAGGTAGAATGTTTAAACTTGATGTTCATTAGGTGAATGTCTTGACTGAGTTCAATTATTAATATTTCCTACTAAAGTTAAGCAGAGCTATGCAATTTCATTGGTCGATGCTTTGGGACAAGATAACTTTAATTTTAACGGATGAAGAGTGATGAAATTTAGTGTATAGTTTCACTATACTTGACTGATTTTGATTGTGAACATTTTATGCTTAGACTAAGTATAGATAATGTTTGATTGCTTGATACTTTTGAAAAATTCAAATGTGCAATTAGGTGCATTAGGTAAGATTAGATAAAGAGCTGACAGTTCTCACTATAATAGATAATGCAAACAGAATATGCTGAAAATTTCAGTCAAACTGCTTCACTCTGAACCGAGATATTAGCGATTCAAATTTAGGCTAGCCACGAACGTCATTACTAACTTGGGTGGGTTAATAACCAAGTCTGTAATATCCATGTTTACGTTAAATTATCCATCACAGAATTTATTCAGATCTACTAAATATCATAAGCTAACGATGGCATCGAGAGTTGATTATGCTCTGGATTAAGTTAATCAATGTCTGATTAATAATTTAGATAACATTTCAGGCCCCAAAAAAGACCTGCAATAGGCAGATTTAGCTCTTGCATAATGCATGTTTAATATGTGTCGTCAGTTTATTTTGGCGGGGGATATCAGCCTCACTGTTAGCTTGTTGATCTTGCAATACAGGGAGCAGAAACACACACATATTTTGCAATAATACCTACAAGTGAATTTTAATTCCATGTTCTAAGTTTCATTGCCTGTCTCCGATATAATATGGTTTGTAAACATATCAGGGGGTTTATACTTTGAACAGGGTACAGGCATTGAAAATGGACTATGCATATCTCAGTGAAAATTGATTTATTCAATTTTGATCTACATGAAATGAGAGCGCTGACATTGATAATGTTTTAAAGATACATTCCCGCATACAAACTTTGTGATTTGATGATATATTTGGACTAAAAACATATTCAAAGTAGCCAATCTATCAAAAATTTGCTTCAATTCCCTCTCAAAACTTTGTATTCGCCAGGGATACCTATAGCTATAAGTAAGCTGTTGTTAGATGCAATGTCTGTCAACTTAACTTCATTGTGGGAGGGTCCATTTTTCAGATTGTATTTATCATTACTTACTGTTCATTTACCATACATATTAAGGCCTAAGTAAATTCTTAATTATTTCTGTCAACTTCTTTTACCGCTGTTTAATTGCAGAGTCTTTTGTACGTTGACGCCCTTCAATGTTCCCAAAACCGCCTAACCATTTGATCAAGAAATAACAACTGCTCCCTCACTTAAGCTGGCACACAATAAGCTGGCAGATAACAGTAGGGTTGTCAGTTAGTGATACCCTGATAATTTTGCCCAGTGCTTGCCCCATGGGTGTTTTTTGGGTAATCCAGTATATTTGTCCCCCGCCTTTCGAAGAAAGCAGGGGACTATTAAAATGGGTTCGTCCGTCTGTCAGTCTGTCTGTCTGGTCCGGAAGTCCGTCTGTCCGTCACACTTTTTGGGACACAATAACTCTCCTTCTAATTGACCTAGAATTTTCAAACTTGGTGTAGGTGTTTATTAGGTCAATGCCTTGATGGAGTTCGAAGATGAGCATTTTCTGCTTAGGTAAGCAGAGATAAGCAATTTGATTGGTTGATGCTTTGGGACACGATAACTTTAATTCTAATTCAAGTGAGAGTGATGAAACTTGGTGTATAGTTTCATTACATCAATACCTTGACTAAGTTCGATACTGAGCATTTTCTGCTTAGGGCAAGAAGAGTGATAAGCAATTTGATTGGCCGAGACTTTGGAACACAATAAATCTCCTTCTAATTGAGCTAAAATGTTCAAACTTGGTGTAGGTGTTTATTAGGTAAATGCCTTGATGGAGTGTGAAGATGAGCATTTTCTGCTTAGGGTAAGTAGAGATAAGCAATTTGATGGTTGATGCTTTGGGACAATGACACGATAACTTTAGTTCCAATTAAGTGAGAGTGATGAAACTTGGTGTATAGTTTCATTACATCAATGCTTTGACTAAGTTCGATATTGAGCATTTTCTGCCCAGGGTAAGCAGAGCGATAAGCAATTTGATTGGCCGAGACTTTGGAACACAATAACTCTCCTTCTAATTGAGCTAGAATGTCCAAACTTGGTGTAGGTGTTTATGAGGTCAATGCCTTGATAGAGTGTGAAGATGAGCATTTTCTGCTTATGGTAAGTAGAGATATGCAATTTGATTGGTTGATGCTTTGGGACACGATAACTTTAGTTCTAATTAAGTGAGAGTGATGAAACTTGGTGTATAGTTCCATTACATCAATACCTTGACTAAGTTCGATGATGAGAATTGTCTGCTTAGGCTAAGGAGCAATAAGCTTTTTGATTGGTCAAAACTTTGGAACATAACAACTCTGCTTCTAATTGAGGTAGAATGTTTAAACTTGATGTAGATGTTCGTCTTGACTGTGTTCAATGATTAACATATTGAGGTAAAGCTAAGCAGAGATAAGCAATTTCCTTGGGACAAGATAACTTTGATTCTATCTGATAGAGAGTGATGAAACTTAGTGTATAGTTGATAATCAGTTTGATTGCTCGATACTTTTGAAAAAAATAGATGTGCGATTAATTAATATGTGTCATCTATTTATTTGGAGATTTCGGCGGGGGATATCAGCCTCACTGTTGGCTTGTTCTAGTAAGATTGGGTGTCTATATTTTCCATATGTACCAAATTTGACATACTTTTATTGGAAATAACCACTTGATAAATACTTTTCTGGGAAAGTATCTTTAATATTTAAAGTCTGTAAGAGTATAGGCTATACTAGATTTATGTCTGATTTAAGAATGTTTTAATATTTAAAGACTGTAAGAATATATAGATTTATGTCTGATTTAAGAATGAAAATATTGTTATAGGTGGTATATTTTACCAACAGTGGTTCTGAATCTAATGATTTAGCTCTACATATGGCCAGATTATACACTGGAGTTTTTGATACTCTATCTCTCAGGTAATATAATTATCATTCAATTTACAATGATTAAAACCTCATTGCAGGGTCAGAAGTTCATAGTACACTATTTCAAAACTGCTCAGGAGAGCAGAACAACACATAGAGGTTAAGAATCATGATATTGTCATGTCAAAATATCATACATAAAATATCATATTTTTCAAGATCTTCTCAAATATTTCTATAAAAAGATATATACGAGGGCTGGCTGAAATTGTTTAAGTCTATCTGTGAAAGAGCTGTAAAAAGTTGGTTTCCATTTATTTTTTTTAAATAGTCCCTTTTGACGTGTACACACTTTTGCCAATGATTCAGTCAATGATTGTACTTGTCGGGACAAAAGTTTCTTTCAACCAAATTGACCTATCCATTTTAGGCTTAGAACCAGGTCTTCCACTTCAAAATTTTCCCAGTCGGTCATTTTTCACACGGTAAAAGTGGTGCTATTTTTAGCACATAATAAAAAGCCATAAAACAACATGCTATTGAAATGTGGATCAGGTTTAATTTAGTCAAGAACAGTCACACAAAATTCAATGTCACATCGGCATTTATACCAACCCACCCCCGTAGTAAATAAAGGAACACTTGTAATTATTTATCATCATTTATTTATTGTCACATACTTTCGAAGAAAGCAGGTGCAGGGCTAGAAATTCACACGAATCTCTGAATCTAATTCGCGCAAGGATTCTCGCAATAGCTTACGCTGTGAATCTATAAGGATTCTCGTAAAAATTTTCTTAAAAAAAAAAATCTCGGAGAATTGTCAAGTCTAACTGTTGAATGTCAGTCAGGGTCAGTGTTCTTAATCGGCTGTGTTTTGTGATTCATGTTTAATCTAGCCGATTAGTAAAACAATGAATCGGCCACATGGTATCATAAATCAATCTACTTGTGGCTAATATTACAACGCGTTAATTATTACTTGTTAATAAAGATGTGTCGGCTACAACAATAGTCATACCTTAGTGAGAATCGGCCATATGTGGTTCATAATCCGAGTAATTAGCACATTTAACGGTGATTTTGATAATCCGGTAAAAAACAAAACAAAACAAGCTTGCTGATAATTCATAATAAGTTCAGTAAAATACGCCATGTGGTGAATGAAGACAATCTCGACATGGTTTGCGAATCCTGCATCTTCCGCGCTCTGTCCGTGTGAATTCCAGGTACCGATAGATATTAAAATAATAACTGGATCATACATTGATGGATTCACTGACCAGTTGTTAGGTAAATTTAAATCTTCATTGAATATAATCCCCTGATCGAACACTGAATACACGGAGAGAGAAACAGTGGATATTTTCCCAACAGAATCTCGAATGCCGAATTCCAATAACATATCGGTTGGAATTAGGTCAATAAACCAGTTCTACATAGCGTTTACCATTATGATTTTTTAATTTATACACATGCTGACAGAGACTTAATTTTAAAAATATTATTGAAGGCTATATCATAGTTGTACATAATTTTATTTTATAGCAACTTTAGTTATAGTTGTCACGTGATCATTGTGCCGTTTGTCTATCATCGACGAATGAATAAAAACTTGCAATTTACGTGACTAGTTACGGGATGAACAAAAGACTACAAATTGTGCTATAAAGAAATGCCATGGTGCTGTATCAGCTTATTTTGACTACGGCATTTTCTGGATATTACTTTTGACACAATTTAAGTGTTTACCAAAAACTCCATCTGATTGGGTTTTTTTTTATCATTGTTGTTATATTTTGGTGTTTTAGATTAACACAATAAACACAATTTTGTTTTTTAGACAGTATTATTAACTAAGATTTGGAGGATTCGCGCAGATTCCATATATTATAAGAATCCTCTTAGATTCTCGCAAAAAGTGACGAATTTCTAGCCCTGAGGTGACTATTAAAATGTGTCTGTCTGTCTGTCAAACTTGGTGTAGCTGTTTATTAGGTCAATGCCTTGATGGAGTTCAAAAATGAGCATTATCTGCTTAGGGTAAGCAGAGATAAGCAATTTGATTGGTTGATGCTTTGGGAAATGATAACTTTAGTTCTAATTAAGTGAGAGTAATGAAACTTGGTGTATAGTTTCATTACATCAATACCTTCACTAAGTTCGATAATGAGCATATTCTGCTCAGGGTAAGCAGAGTGATAAGCAATTTGATTAGCCGAGACTTTGGAACACAATACTTCTATTTCTAATTGAGCTAGAATGTTCAAACTTGGTGTAGGTGTTTATTCGGTCAAAGCTTTGATGGAGTTCAAAGATGAGCATTTTCTGCTTAATTAGGGTAAGCAAAGATAAGCAATTTGATTGGCTGATGCTTTGGGACACGATAACTTTGGTTATAATGAAGTGAGAGCGACGAAACTCTGAATATAGATTCATTGACTAAGTTCGATGGTGAGAATTTTCTGCTTAGACTAAGGATCAATAAGCAATTTGATTGGTCAAGACTTTGGAATATAACAACTCTGCTTTTAATTGAGGTTGAATGTTTAAACTTGATATTGATGTTCATTAGGTGAATGTCTTGACTCAGTTCAATGATTAACATTTCGAGCTAAAGCTAAGCAGAGCTAAGCTATTTCATAGGTCGATGCTTTTGGACAAGATAACCTTGATTCTATCTGATAGAGAGTGATGAAACTTAGTGTATAGTTGGATTGCTCGATACTTTTGAAAAAAAATAAATGTGCGATTAGTTAATAGGTGTCATTTATTTATTTTGGGATTTCGGCGGGGTACATCAGCCTCACTGTTGGCTAGTTTATTTATTTATACATTCATAAAATATAACAATAACAAGAGGCATTCATTCATCGCAAGTACACAATTTTCTTACTTGATTTACATTACCCGCATATACTCGTCTGAACTCTGATGGAACTGTTGTGGTACTACATCTTTAAATAGTCGATCTTCGTGTTCAAGTGATGTTTTATGGTCACTGGAAGCAGCGTGCTCTACCAGAGCGGACTTTATAAAATTCTGGGAACCAGTCACAAAACTATTCTTGCTGTTATGTTTCTGCCAAACCAATCTTTTAATTAACCATTGCGTACAGCGTATGCGCCGAGTTACATGTAGACTGTTGACTTTTTACACACACAGGGGGTGGGGGGAGGGTAAAGGGCGAAAGTAGTTCCTTATGATTAATGCATTTAAATGATTCAATGTCATAAAAATGTACAATAATTAACATGCTTCTGAAAGGGATATTCCCGAATTTCACGAAGCTAAGACATAACAGTCTGTGTACATATGAAATTCAAACACCAAAATATAGAGGAATTGTGTATTTACCTTGTCTGAAGAGTTCAGTTCAAAATATTGTGTCGTTTAGACGACGAAACCGCTTATCAGGACACTAGCATTTTTAAGAAGTTTGGGTCAAACTTTTTGTTGATAAACGCAACTATTCTATACCAATGGTGAACTTCATGAACAGAGAGCTTTCATTCACTCAGATTGTTAGCAGTAAGCTATAATTTGAGAAAAGAAATCTGATTGGATGTTTATTTTTACACAGCCAATCGCTATAGTTTACCCGTACATCCGCCGTAAATCAATCATGTAAAATTGAAAGTTGTGAGTTTTATCTTGTTCAATTCATAATTGATAACCCTTGAAATCGTCAAAGAGAGCGAACAGTTACAGATACTGCAAAGAAAAGAAGACAGAAAGAGTATATGCGAGGTTACAGAGCACAGAAAAAGACAAATGTGTGTATTTATGCAGGGAAGTAGCGAGATGGAAATTGGAATGATTTCAAAGCCAATTTGGCAATTTCGATTGAAAGGATGACGAACTTCACAAAGACATTGCCAAAATGTTAATTGATTTTTAAAAAAGGTAAACTAAAAAAAATTATTTTTCTGTGTCAATTTCCAAAGTATAAAAAAAAATCCAATCAAAAAGGAACATGCACAGATGATATTTACATGTAGGGCCTGCTGGCAGACAAGAATGCCTATAAATAAATCTGATGGAATAAAAACTTTTAAGTATGAAATCTTAATGGAGAGAGCAACCATCTGTAAATAGTGTAAATTAGTAGTACTGGTTATTTAACACAAAATAAATATTTTTTATTGTCTTTTGGAATCTTCCATTTTTATATGCCCACATTGAAATTAATATCCGATTGACTTTAAATTTATACAGTGTTTAGGGTCATGAGACGAAGAGGTATATTGATTTTCAACGATTTCCAATAATTACTGCCAGAGTTATGGTCCTTGATCACTTTGAAATATCTTGTGAAGGCTCTAGAGGCTAAAGTTAATATCTGATTGACTGAATTGATACACAGTGTTTATGGTTGTGAGACGAAAAAGCCCAGTGATTTTCAATTATTTCAGACAATTACTACCTGAGTTATGACCCTTGATCACTTTGAAAAATCTTTTGGATGTTCTAGAGACCAAAGTTATTATCCGATTAATGACTAGATCGATAAACAGAGTTTAAGGTCTTGAGACGCACAAGTATATTGATTTTCAATGAATTTTGTGAACTTGAACAGCTAAATTCATGATTTCCTCCCACTGCTAAAGACCTATGCACAAGCAAATTATTGAAATAAAATTGAACCATATTAGTCCCAAAATGACCTAGTTTGTGTTGAGTGGACGTTAAACCCCATTTCTCTCCCTCTCTTTTTTCACGTTCCTTCATTAAAAAGTATTCTTTTAAAATTTATGAAAGATGTATTTGACATTATTTTGCAGTCCACTTGTTTACTACATTGTACATATAACACGGCCCAAATTCCTTTAATCTTTTTAATATATTTATTTTTCAGATATAGAAAATATACACAAAATGATCGCCAACACGGTCAGCGGTATTGGGTCAGTCATACCTGCCCGAGTAGATATTGACCCAGCTGTTCCAAGGAGAATACGATGATCCCTTGCCTCCACAAGTCCATCCACTCTAGAAGATGTTGTGAAGATACAGACCACACGATTTTAAGAATATTACAGAATATAATA